ACTTAGAACATAAAAAACATGCTTCCATCACCCACCAAAAATTCAACATTAAATTTGGACGCAAGACCACAGTGGTTCTTGCCTCGCCCGCATATCTTGGATGGCTAGTATGTCAGCCTTTGCCTTCCAAAGGCATCATCGGCCGAGAAGAGGTATCTTCCTCATTAGCTGGATGTCCTCCAATCACCCGATCACAATCATTTACCAAACTAAGTGCACAACTGGAACCTGAAAGAATTTCGTTGAGTACACTTTTATATAGCGGGCCGCTTGGTCCAAGTGGACCCTTGAATCAAATACGTCGGAGTGCCCCTCTAAAACTCCTAATTTTCACTACCCTGACCCCAGGCTCCACACGCATTGGTTACCGCTTATCGGCATAGGATTTCTCACGTACACAAACGTACAATATCACCAACTATACACCATTCCCACAACAGCCGGTTCTACGTACCGGAATAACTCGGGTTTTACCCGACCAAGGGTCGTTGTTTCGGCGATCTAACCCCGTTTAAGTCGGCGAAATCCATCAAACGTTGTTCGACAATGGGGCTACATCTGCTCCGTATCCTTTTGCTCAGGGCTGGCATAGAGTCAAACCCAGGGCCAGAAATTTACACCTGCTGCGTATGCCAGAGACGACTGCATGCAAACTCCACCTCGGTCAGGTGCAATGGCTGTGACGGGTGGAGTCATCTCCGCACCAGCTCGGGCCTACGTACGCACCGGCAATGGACCACGTCGTTCGTGGCCCCATGCTGTGCTAATCGGATGGCAAACCACCACTTGCCCGAGCAGCATACCACCGACAATCGGTTCGGTTTGTCAGTCCAGAATATACCGTAACGTGACATCAGTAAAGTGCAATTCCTGCCTTGGCTGGTGCCACTTTAGGGCATGATCCGGACTCCGCAACACGCGTGATTGGACGAGTGACTACGTGGGCCCCTGCTGTGGTGCCCAGGCACAAACTTTCCCCGTCTGTAGAACATACAGCAGGGGGCTGGCAGGCAACACAACTCCCTAACACCCCGCATCAAAACTGGACTCCCAAGGCACACAAAGGTGCTACAATTCAACTGCAATGGACTTCAGAGCAAGATCGAGGAGATAACCGTATTCATGGGAAGGCATAGAATATTGATAACTGCGGTCCAAGAGACGAAGTTGAACGGATAAATGTGCACCGTCGAGATCGCGAGCGAGAAAATGGTGGAGACTTAGCGTTCATCACGCACCACACCGTAAAGTATCGTCTTATCAAAGCAGACATCGACCGCAGGGATACCATCCTAGAATGTCAAGGTACCGCTATCCGGTCAGGCGATGTCGAGCTCGAAATATTTTACGTTTATATACCCTATGTTACCAGCTGTCCGGAAAGATATCAAGATGAAATAGGTGCGCTACTCTAGAGGTGAAAACCGTATGGTAATTGCCGACTTTAACGCGCACCACGATCTTTGGCATTCAAGCCTGTCGAATTTGGCTGAGCAGATACACGATTCGACATTCTGCACAATGAACACACAAACCGACGTTCACGTAGATGAGCGTAAATTCCGCAGGGTTGTCACTGCTGCTGCAGCCCGCTTCATTCCAGCAGGATGTATTTCGGATCCCCGTCCGAATATTCCTGCTGAAACGGCTGTCCTAGCCGATGAGCGTGACAACCTTCGCCAGGCTGATCCCGGAATTTTCCGTATCGGGAATCTCAACGCGGAGATTCGGCAACTAGTGAACGTACATAAGCGGAAAAAGTGGGCAGAGCATCTGAAGACCTGCAACTTCGCCTCTGGTGTGAGTAAGCTTTGATCAACCGTGAGGTCATTGTCCAATCCGACGAAGCGTGACGTCAGGGTTGCAATATCTTTTGGCAACCAAGGTTCGTCGGAGCCGGAGCGATGAGCGAGCTATTTTAGCCGAGAGTTCATACTGCATCCTCCGGCGGACAAAGCCAATTGTCGAGTGACCAGTGCGCCTCTTGTTTTCACCAGCGGTGAGGTAAGGGTAGCCATCGGGAAGGCGAAAGCCTCCAAAGCCATAGGACCCGACGAAATTTGCATGTTGATGCTGAAACAATTGGATCCCAACTAACCAAGGTCCTCAACCTGCCTTCGGCCAATCATCATTCCAGACATCTGGAAAAAGGGGAGAGTGGTGCCACTGCTTAAACCGGGAAAACATACTAACAAAGGAGACTCTTATCGATAACCCTCCGTTCCCCGGTAGCGAAGACAAACTACCTTACCCCAGCGAAGCAGCAGCATGAGTTTCGTAAAGTGCACAGCACAACAACAGCCCTTAACGCCGTAAACACTCAGATAACTCGTGGCCTTAACCTAAAACGCCCCTGTGAGAGAACGATTCTAGTAGTGCTGGACCTGGCAAAAGCTTTTGACACCGTTAGTCACTCCACGGTACTAGAAGACATTGAGGCCTCCTCTCTCCCACAGGGACTAAAACGGTGGTCGGCGAGTTATCTGATAGGTCAGCCTTCGTCAGTAATCTTTAGGGACAAAACTACCAAATCGAGAAAAATTAGGGTAGGCAACCATCACTATTGTCTCTTATGCTGACTTGTGCTCGAAAGTAAAGGGTTATCTCGCCGAGGTTAATCGCTTCTACACCGAAAGGAGCCTTACCCTCCCCCTACAAAATCCTCGGCAACTTTATCCACGACCTGGACGAAGGAGGTCAGTCTGCAACTGGGTATTAATGTCGATGGGGAAACAATACCAACAGTGAATAACCCAAAAATCATCGGAGTCACCTTCGACAGTCTGCACAGCCTTAACAATGTCCTCTACACCATTTCCAGTTGTAAATGCGAAAGCGTCAATTGTAATTGAGAATAGTCAATTGTAAATGAGAAAGCGTCAATTGTAAATGAGATTAGTCAATTATAAATCAGAAATCGTCTAATGAAAATGCGAACGCGTCAGTTGTAATTGAGAATAGTCAATTGTAAATGAGAAAGCGTCAAATGAAAATGCGAAAGCGTCATTTGGAACTGAGAAATAAAAGTAAATTAACAGCGTACTGCATATATAATAGATGATTTAAAGTCGCTTATCACTGATAATACTTAATCAATTAAATATCTCGCTATAAAACGCGTTTGAAAAAGGAATTTTTAAGTTTTCAGAAGGTTATGATCTTCATCTTTGCTGTTTGTAAGCTACGTCATATTAGAGTATGTACATAGATAAGAAGGCAGGAAAATAAAGCTGGTAAATATTCAGATGAAAACGATGTCGGTCGAATTCCGAAAAACCTTCACGAATTACTTATATACATATGAATGTATGTATGTAGGTCATCATGACCTTCTTGAATCTGTTTAAACCATTACGGTATGTCTCGGATCAATGTATGTAGCTCGATAGAGAACACTCTTCGGTTTTCTTTTCGCCGAGAAGTCTCAGTTGTTTTACACTGGCGGAAGAACTACTTTACGATTAAAAAGTATATAAATCAAGTATGTTAAAAATATGCATATATATAAATTACTTGGATATTTCATTAATAAAGTGCTGCGTTTAGCGCCATATTCCCCCATGCTAAACCCCATTGAAATAATCTGGGGAAAAATCAAAATGCATGTAAAGGTGCACATCTCAAACCCAGTCATAAATGGGCCAAACGTTGTTTAGCAACGGCTGCAATATTTGGAGAAGTTGGTGGATCACGCGAAAACTATAATCACCGGAGGAGACTGCGCGAAATGCTTTATCTTTACAAGATATGCAAGTTGGGACATAATAAACTTGCATTTTTAATAACATCTAAATAATTTCTGAATAAAAACGAGTTTCTCATTTCCAAATGACGCTTTCGCATTTTCATTTGACGCTTTCTCATTTACAATTTACTACTCTCATTTTCAATTGACGCTTTCTCATTTACAATTGACTACTCTCAATTACAAATGACGCTTTCTCATTTACAATTGACCTTTTATCATTTACAATTGACTATTCTCAATTTCAAATGACGATATCGCATTTACAATTGACTATTCTCATTTCCAAATGACGCTTTCGCAATTTCATTTGACGCTTTCTCATTTACAACTGGAAATGGTGTAGTCGCTGGCCGGCAGCACTTAGGGCAAAGGCAAAAACGTTATTGGCAACATACAACGCAATTGGCCGGCCGCAGGCACGCAATGGATGAAGCTGCCAGAACACGGCACTTCGGACAGGGACGGGTGCATTCTGATGTCGCCCAACACCAGCTTCACGACGAGGCCCAGATCAAGGAGCATAACACAATGCTCTGCAAGCAATTTCTAAAAGGGAGCCACAGATGTGGTTACCCAAATAGACGGACGAAGACCGACGAAGAGGTTCATTAAAAAACCTCTAGACCCAACCGCATACAGACAGGCCCTGAACGACATTCACAGGGAGTCGGTATCAAGTTATGTAGACTCTCGACCCGTGAATGCCGTTCTGGGCACACAACCACCTGACGTGGACGGGAGAGAGCTTACGTCTGCCTCGTGAGACCCGCACCACAATAGCCCAACTTCGCTATGGCTATTTTAGCAGGCTTAACTCATACACAAGCAGAATAAACGAGGATTTGCCTAACCAGTGCACGGCATGCGGAGAGTTGCCACATGACTCACGGCACCTCTTCGCATGCCCGCAGAACCCCACCTAGCTAACGCCCATGTCCCTATGGACAGATCCTGGACCTCCCCTTAGCTGAAACAGACGACAACGTTGATGAACCGACCCGAGCGGCGTTTAGTATCCGCTACAACAACAACAACCAACTATAGACAGATTACCGTCGTCTATCACAATTCAAGCACTGAAGGAGGATCTCGATCAAATTTTTGAAATAGAAAGGATGTCAGATTTGCTTACAACGTAATCTTACAAGGTTAGGGTATGTTCATATTAAAATACTTAATTAGAAGCTTTGACTTTCATAGCTATTGGCATTCAAAATTTACAGGAATTGAATGAAAAATAGAGCTAACTCACCGAAAAGTTTTTGGCGATCCCAGCGTGGAAAAGATGGAAGACAAGAAATGTAAACGCACCGATACTTGTGTCTTATGTGAGTACATCAGCGCTTCAGGCGGTGTTTCAGCACCACCACTAGCCAACTTGCCTTGGAGTTCTGTGTAGCGTTTAGCATAAAATTTGATATTATTAAAAAAATGATACATCATGCGATGCTGCCTTTCAGCCCACATTGTCACGTGATGTGTGTCTGCTGGGCGAAAGTGTTGAAACGACGCGAAAAGTTTAGGCAACAATCGCAGACTCACAACTACGCTACGGTTGCTTGCCAGATTTTGTAGACAACCTTCAATGAACTTTGTACGCAGCTGACGATCCATACTAAAACAAAGTAAGGTGGCCAGTGCTTTTTCAGCCTCAAGCGCCAAGGATTCTCCTAATTGAAACTGAAAGACAAAAAAAAATAAAAAATTAATTACAAATCGCACTCATTTTGTTTTTCCTGCCACTTACAATTTTGTCATCCTGCAACAAGTCCCAAAGTAAAGTATTACCAGGTTGGCATACATCGTTAATTTTGAAAGTTGGTTGTTGAAGTTGTGGCGTGGTCTCTTGTGGTGATATTGGCATTGTCTGACCAACACCTTGCAGCGGTTGCTGTACGACACTTTGCAATACACGTCCCGCAAACTGCGCTTGTGGTGATATTACTTTTGAATTATTGTCCAACATGTCAACGTCAGCTGAATCGCTAGTGCGGCGCACCATTACTGCCGCTAATGCAGCAGCAATCGCAGCGGCATTAGCATTCGCAACTTGCTGCTGCAAATCCGCATCTACACATGCTGCTGCAGCAACGGCTACTGCGGCCGCATTTGCAGCTGGGTCGCTAACGGCTGCTACGACATCCGACACAACACCTGCTGTTGTCGCCTCAACCGACTTTTGTTGCTGCTGCTGAATACTTGAATGTGCGGCTGCCATAGCGGCAGCAGCAAAAGCTGGCGGCACGCAATTATGAGACACACGTAATGCATGCAACTGGCTTAGTTCTTCTTCGCATGGCGATACGTCCTCGTCATCGAAGTCTGCCATATTTTTTTCGGATTTGTTACTCATTGGAGACGAATAGCCATCGATTTCGGCCCCATTTAGAAGTTCGCTAATATGAGTCTCGTCAATAGCTCTTATGTAAGGTCCTTCTCCGCGTAGATGCTTCAGCACTGCGCTAGGCACAACTTGACCACCGGTGTCACTGCAATCGTCGCTATCGTTTAAAACTTCGCCATCAGCTTCGTCGGCATCGTCTGCATCGTCACTAGTAGCGTCCTCATCCTCGCCACCATCCCAAATAGCTTCCACAATTTCATGTGCTAAACGTGTGAGTGGCAAATTGCTGTTTTTTCGACGCTTTCGTGACTTTTTGCGATGCATTTGTATGTCCAGTGCGGCTTGTTGCAAATCATCTTCACTACTTGAATTGTCGATAATATTTACGATGCGATGATTTTGCATTCTATATAGTTTTAAATTTACACGAAATTTTAATAAGTTTTATATTTTTATGTAGCATGTCCACATTCACTTACTTCATATCCAGCTTTTGATTTATCAAGTTTAAGTCCTCAACATTAGTACGGCTTCCTTTGTCTGTTTATTATTGAAATTAATGGAATGACAAAACATAAATATTTTTTGGGAGCACTTACCTTCCGAATTGGCCTCACAAGCATGACGTCTATGGCGTGCCTGTTTACAAGGTGGGGGAGCTCCCGTATCCGATCCGACGTTTTCTATATCAATAGGACTCTTGCGTGTGCCGCTTGCTAGGCTACTATCATCGCCATTTCCGGGCTCATCGTCCGAATTGCTACCGTCCATGCTACCACTGTCCGAGCTAGAGGCAGTCACATGCGCTGCCAGAAGATGATCTTGCATCATGCTCATTTGAGCACGGGAATTATCGCGTGACCATATAAGTTTTGTAAGTGCAGACGCAATATAAATGCTTTGTTCAGTGTGTTCCTTTGGATCCATGCGACAAAGCAACGAGTACAAATGCATAGCTGGGCGAGGTGCCAAGTTTTTCACCAATGCCGGTAGTATATCAAAAATTGTCTTCGAGCAGTGCTTTAACTGGGTAGCTTGCCATATTAGTTTAATATGCTCTTCAGTGATTTGATTTTCCACGGCAAGGAAATTGAGAACTACATGGGCTTGTTTGATTACTTCCACATGTAGGTTGGGTCCAAAAAGATGTTGTATAATTTGATTTTCGGTAAGCCAATTGGCGATTTTTTGACCTACAATCTCAACCTCACCAACAGTCTCAGTGGTGCATATTTCATTGAAAAGATTAATATGTGCGTTTATTTGCGCCATACCTGTGGGCAACAATACCGAATATTTTAATTTTAAACTTTCAAAACTAAGTAAAAAGTTATAAGTAATGGAATTACAATAGGTTTGTTGCATAGGTCTCTATTCTCACCTGCTAAGCGCATTGTAAGCGTGGTTGATGTAAAGTACTTAAAAGCTAGTGCTAACCCTTCGACATCGAAACTGACCGAGGCGTCGAGCGGATCTCGTACAGCTGACCACACAAAGTCAGCCATGGCTCGAGTTGCCGCTGAACGTAAATTTTGATCTGATAACTTGCACATGTACTGCAAAACTCGACTACGCAACGGCACAAACAACTGCACAATGCAACCGTAATTTAACCAAAGTTTTATATTTGAAACCGTGGCAGTAATGGCTTGTGCGGTGGTGACCGGTAGATCTGGCTGTTCGAAACACAACATCATTGCAGCAAAGCCGCCCGAATTGCAAAACAATGTTATGTTACGTAGTAAGTATACTGGAATTTCATTGTCATGCAGATCGCAAAATATTGCCAAATGTTGCGCCTCTTCAGCGGAAATGTCATCCAAACGCGCATGCGTGCCGTGCTTATAGGCAATATACAGTGGAAAATTAAGCAAAAACACTTTGGAAACCAATATGAAGAGTTTTTCTACTTCTGGTAAGATCCATGGTTCTTCAGTTATTTGTGATAGAGACGATGATGCTGTATTAACATTTGATTTGTAAGAAATTGATGTCCCAGGATTTGAGGTTAAGCCCGTTGACGATGTATTTGTATTCGAATCGGGTAGGTGCATTGAAGGTGCGGGGGGCGGTGGTGATGACGGAACTACCGGGGAAGTTACGTTACGTTGTGAAGGCGATAAGCAAGGTGGAGATGAGCTTCCATCTCGTTTGGGCTTCTTCGATTCCTTTATTTCTTCAGTGTTATTGCCGTCCACCCCACTATTACGTTTCCCATTGTCTGCTATAGAGCCTGTTTCCTTATCAGCCTTGTTATCAGATGTTGAGTTAGTATTTTTTTCTGAGGTGCCTGCACCTGCCGTTTGTGCATTCGACTGCGACTTTGTCTGAGCTGCACCAGTCGTCTGCCCCAAACTGCATGCTGTTAGCCGTTTGTAATCATCAATTAAACGCTCAATATGCTTCAGGTGGTGTACTGCCAAGCATATCATCGACTGAACCACAAGATTGAAGCGTTCAAAGTTTTTCGGGTCGCGATAGAGACACATACACTGGCGTTGTGGCCATGCCTGTATATATCCAAAAGCAGTTTCAATCTCACTTTTCAATAGAATTGAATGTTTCGCATCATTACTGGTAATTCGAATTTCATCTGAAAATCAAACAAAAGATATAGTTGATTAGAGCACTACGATCAGGAGGTCTATTGTAACCATTAAAATAATGGTAGTCTACGCAAAAAGGAGTTGGACGCCTGGTTCCGCTAAAGTGCACTTTTACCAAAATTATTTAAATCAAATCAAAAGTTGTAGCAGAAGACGCAACTTTTCCTCCTCGCACATAATTCTACCCATCTACATATGTCCCTCTCTTCGACCTAGTACCAAAACCCGTTGTCAACCACTTTACCGGCGCAAAACTAATATTTTTTCACGATTTTCTCAATACTTACACGACTCCAGCAAATGCAGAAAATCTGAGCAAACGTCACACATTGTTCCAATTTATAATTGCTGCGAGACGCCGCCCGGTTTCCGCCACCCTCTCACACGGGCTCTGGTTGCACTTGCAATTACACTTCTTTGCTGTAGATTGCGATGGAGCTACCGCTGCCTTTGACTATTCTTCTATTCAGACACAACGGCCGCTCCGACGTTGTCTTTTGCGGTGCTGTTGTGGTCGTTGCTGCTGCCGTTGTCTCCGCTTTTGTATCCGCTGCTGATGGTCCGAATCTACGATTGCACAGTTTCTTTGCTTGCTGCACTGCTTCGTCAATATTTTCACTTGTTCGATTCCCATTTACGCCAAAAGATGACGGTGAATTCAACTTCTTGCATTTCAGTTTTCGACAATGTAACAATGTTTTATTTTAATTGATGCCTTTTTTCAAAATTACAAATTTTCACACAAGAATTTTTCCTTCCTTTTCTTCTCGCGCAGAATTCTTCTTTTCACTTTTTGACGCTCTTCGTGTCTTCTTCTTTTCGTTTCAATATTTTCGAGAAAGAAGGAGAAGAGGTGGAAGTCGATGTACGTTCATTCACATCGTGCTGCCAGATGTACTTTTTAAACGCCACCCACTTGTCCTGACGGCTGGAAAATTTGCTTACAGAGGCCTTTATGGCGATCTCTTGAGAACTGATAATGCATAGCGATTGTCACCTTAAGATGTTTTCGTACCTTGGTCCAAAATACCTCAAACCAACATGTTGCTTAATACAAATTCAGCACCCGAGATATTGAGTAGAGCTCGATAGAAATAATGCAGAGATAAATGCTTGTAATGGAAAACCCACTAGAATTCGACCTTGTGTGGCGAACGCGAATGCTAACAACAATGAAGGTCATCTTGCATTTGCAAAGCTGAGTTTTGAGCAAGCGAAATCTCTAGTACAACTGATTATGCTGATGATAACTATTTTGCAAATACGCCTGTAGGTAAATTCAATTGAACCGAAAAACAAAATGACGGTTTGGGCTTTCCAACACGCTGTGTGGCTACCTGAGAATGTGTCATGTCTGAATAGTGTACACCGGTTATACCTGACAAGTTTTCACGTTTGTGGCATGTACTATTTTCATGGTCGTGTGAGTATTCGTATCATTTCCTTTTTATTGTATTCAAAGGATTTTCGTCATCGTGCCTTGTATTTAATCTCTGTGTCAACAAAATCTGAAACGTACCACAGAAACTACACTTTGAAATGTGAAAATTAACATTTTGTGAATACCACCTGGCAGCACATTAATACATTTGCTTTCTAACTTTTTGCGGCGTTGCTTTAGATGACATTCGCGAAATGTCAAAGAAAGCGATTCTTTTCATATCACAGAGTTGCAATAATGTGGCAAAACATACACAGATATACACTGCGAAAGTAATTGAAAATATTGAGAATTTTTATGTTTTTATTTAAAATTAAATTAAGCGAATTTTCAATTTAAATTTATGCGTCCAATCACACCCACGTACATATTTAATTTACAAGAAAATGTTATAGTACTAAATTCTAGCCACTGACGTCCGATATGTTCGTGCAGCATTTTGCCACTAACAGGTCTATTCTCCGCTGGTAAAATAAATTTTGTAACCGGCAATTAAAACGTGTGTCAATCTTTAAACCTTTTTCGCAATCTGTGCGCTCTTGTAACCGGTAAATATTAGGTGCAATCCGTATTCCTCGGACTAAAACTAGTAAAACTGTCAAAAATTAAAAATTCGCTCAGAGCGAGAGAGTAACATTGAAAAGTACGGGGTCGCTTTCTAGTAAACACACTCAGCACACACATGTAAATAACCAAAAATACTTTCAAATTCATTAGAGTCCACTTAAACAAGTAGTTAAATACTTTTCAGAGTGCACTTTTCTTTTGTTTACAATTTGGTTGCCAAACACACTACAGCTGATCGTTTGACACATTTACCAGGAAAAAAATTCTCGGACTAAAACTGGTAACTTCTGACAGAGAGAGAACCGTATTTACTCTCTTTTTTGTGCTCTCAATAGTCAGATAACCGAGTACGGGATCGATTTCCAGTAAAATCTGACTGATTCTGACTATTTCTGACTAGTCCGGACTCATGCGGGATCACAACTTTTGTTACCATCTCATAAGTTGCCTTGTGAAATATGCAATGCCAAAATTTCCGCGATTCTTCATAGGTAAATTTCTGAATATTCTAACTGCATTACCAATATACCTAGAATGGCGGTGACAAGAACTGGTTGCTTGGTAATAAAAGTTTCTAGTTACAAGATCTTCCGTAACGTGCAGAATAGACCTGTAAGACTGGAATTGAAGAATAGCTAAATTCTTCCAGGAAAGACACATATGCAAAACATTTTTTATATTAGGGTCGTTCAGGATACTGTGGAAATGGTATTGGATTTGCAGTTGGAATTGCATTTGCAAATTGCCACGATTGCCAGAAGAATTACATTTATACAAAAAACTGTATTTGTGTCTCATATTTGTAGGGATTTTATGAAAAAATAAATGGCAGCATCACTCTCATGGCTCCCTTGCACTTAGAAATTTAAGTTGGAAATCAAAAATCTTTAAGTTCTCCAAGTTTTTAAGGGCCAGTTTTTCAGTGCACGGCCGAAGGGTTGCATAACTGATCTTTTACTTAAGGGATTCCCTTAATTCGTAAAGTTTTAAACTGTGTAAAACTCATAAGCTTGCGAGGCTTTTATGGGAACGTCCCATGATCCAACTACACAAGATCTGACAAGATGAAGCAAAACAAAAAAGTAATTTTCTGGCTGACGTTTGTAATTTCGGAGCCATGTTATTTCTTTGAAAAGTAAACAAAGAATATGAATACGAAGAATAAAGAAAAAAATGCAGCCAATTTTGCAGCACATGTTTGTGCTAACCAATTTATTATTTTGTACATGTTTTTGCAACCAATCACCGTGCACTTCATTTTAATTACATTTGCACAAAAAATGTATTGAAAATCGCTTAAAAATCACTGAAATAAAACACCGACAAAATACACATAAAAAAGGAAGCAAAACAGAAATAGCAAACTTCAAAATTACGAACGTCACACACTTTTCTCTCAATTGCTATTACAAATGGCTGCTTCTCAACCGGTCAGATATGTTCTAAGTGGTTCATGGGAACGCCGCCCTTTTTGAAATGGTGCGTAAACTGACTGTTTGGCAGTTCAACCTGGATTTTATGAAGCAATTTTTGTTTCGTAGTATTTTCTACAACATCCCGTCATCTTGTCTCTATCACCCTTAGCTAAAATACTATTAAAAATTCCGAAAATTAGCAGAAAACCTAAGTCAATGCATTTATTGGCAGAAATTCTTTAATTTTATTCGCTTATAATTATTTTTTCATTATTTTATCATACATTTTAGTATAAAAATTTCGGATCCTCGGCAACACTGAAGTTTACGAGGTCGTTTGCGAATCTAATTTGACTCGTTACGAGGGACTCGTAAATAGAGCTCCACGAACCAATTATTTGGTTCATGGGTTATGGTGGCTTTGTTTCTTTTCAAGCAGATAATTATCAGAAAGAAGAAGAATGAGAAAATTGAAAGAATTACGTTCACAGAGAGCGAAATAACGTAAAAGTAAAGAAGCGCAAAACTAGCAGAAACCAGCAAGTAATCAGCTGATCGGTGTATTTGACTATTGAAAATAGTTGCGTTCCAGATGCTTCACGATATTCACGAAATTCACGATTTGCAGGAACAGCTGCTTTCTACATTAATAAACCTTATGGGAGGTGGTCACCTGGAACGACTTCCTGTAAAAACCTGCAAATCGTGAAGCATCTGGAACGCAACTAATATGTGCCGCGAATTTTTGTTTATCCATTTTGACAGCTGCTAGTTTCTGCTAGTAAAAATTTTACTAGCAGAAATTAGCAGGAGAGCCAAAAAAGAGCGTAAGAAGGAGAGAAAGCGGCTAGTTTCTGCTAGAAATAATTTCTGATAATTATCTGCTAAGAAACAAAGCTGGTATGTCACTACTAATTTAACGTTGAAACTTTATCAGGGTTGATAATGAGGAGAAGCATGAATTTTGCCGATTGAGAGTGGCATATAAAATTACCAACCGTACATACACGTGGCAAAGGTAATTTTGTAAAGAAAGACTTTTCTTATGAAGCTCACTAAAATCTACTCATCATGTTGGAGCAGCTCTGGGTAATGGACCATAAACAACGAAGTCTCCAAGCAAATGCGTGTCCTAAATTTATACGGTAGCAATTCATTGCAATTGCTATTGTATGTATGTATGACTCATATTTGTGACATTCTATACTTTGATGTTAAGTTTTTTTGAGGAGTTCCGTTCAAACTGGGGTGTGATTAATGGGCTGTCTGGGCGTATGCGCTGGCAGCCATTGGAGTAGAGACTTAAATATATTCTCGGGAATTTAGAGTTTCCTTGATGAATTCACAAAATTCGCGTTTTTTCATTAAAAAAAATACGATGTGAGTCTCCAGTTTATAGAAACACAAGCACACAATTATGTACTTAACTATTGATATTATTCTTAATTAAGCATTGATACTATACTTAACTTAATTTTTGTTCATAAATAACACAATTATATTTTATCCTCGAAAATACGTTTTTCTAATCCTGAGGTGAAATTCCCCACAGTAGGGTTGCCGTGCGCGCAAAACGTATACCACCCAAAAGTACCCCTCGGGGACCAATTGGTGAAAGGCCGCGTAGAGGTTTATTACTGTATATACTGTGGTCAAGAATGATAGAATACAAGATTGCGCCGATCAGAGAGGATTTTTGAGAATAACTTTTGTGTGACGTCACACTGGTGCAATTGCGAGAGAGAAATGCCAAAACGTGAGCAAGAGTGGAAGAAGAAGAAAAAATGTTGCAAGGAAAACGTAAACAAGTTGCACCAGTGTGACGTCATGCAAACAACGATTCTGTCAAATTCGTTAAGAGAGGAATAGCGGTCCGAGATCGGCGCAACCTTTGTATTCTCTCAATCGTGTACTGTGGTGTCTGAAAGCCGACTTTATGCAAACGGCCCTTCATGCCTTTTGGTGTCGCCAAGGCGAATTCAAATAAATTGGTAGCGGTAGTACAAAAACAAAAAGTAACAAGTGTTTCGTTTTCGCTTTTGGTATACAAGTGTCAAATTTTAGCTATTCATCGCTCAAGGAGGAAAAGGGAAAGAAAACGCCGACACTCTTCCTTTCGCACTCACTCATACGGAGTTATGGCATATGTGTACTCGGGCGAATTAAAGCAGCTGTTCTAGCAACACCAAGGTGAATTTATACTTGAAATTTGACATTTTGCCCCTGATACAAAATACATGTGTTTGTTGTTTGTTGTATTCTTGCTACCACCTTGTATAAATTCGCCTTGAGCAACACCGCCTTTTATGATTTCGCCCTGGGTGTCCCTCTCTCGCTCGAATTTTTTTAATTTTTTGACAGTTTGAGTAGATTTTGTGCCATGGTTTATTGGACCATGATTTTGCTCAGGAATACGGGATCAGACCTACAAATACTCCAAAATAACAAAATGCAAAATTTGTGCGGATTGAAAAATTAGCAGATTTGCAAAGTGAAGCCATCTCAATTGCAAAAAATTTAAACATTTGAAACACATTTTATCCTTTGTTTTGAGGAAATGGAATTTGGTGGTTTTGAAAAGTGAAAGATATTTGTAAGGTAAAAAGTGTGAAATTTGTGGTCACGTCGTCGCCTGGAACTGCGTGCGGCAGAAAATAAAAAGTGGCCGCAGCAGCAGCGGCTTTAGTAGCAGCGCAATCGAGTGTCTTGTATACGACAGAGTGGAAAAGTGTGGATTAGGGGAAAGAAGGTAGCCATGAGAAGTAGGTGCGAGTGCGTCAGTGCGTTTACTCTTGCAATAAAAGGTTGTTGAAGGAAACAGAGACAAACGTGCCGATGTACAAAGCTGAAGCAAAACAAAATGCATGGCATACAGACAGATTTACAAGAAAAAACATGTTCTAAAAAGCAAACATAATATAAAAAAATTAAAATAAATAGTTTATTTTTCACATCCTTAATCTTGTGACAGTGCCTAGGTGGCTGAACCAAACATTTTCTTGTACGCGTTTACGAAATAAGTAACTCTCTCACTTTGTAATATTTATAGTGTAACTTTGACTTGGTTTACTTAAAAGTGATTTTATTGAAATGTCCGAAATGAAACGGGTTTCGTTTACCACGTTGAGCAGTAGTACTTCGTCTACAACAAACTTCGGCCCAGGAAGCAGTGCTGCTGGCGGGCTTTTAGGTGGAATTGGTAGTGGAGCTTTACCCGCGAGTTCGTCACGTTTCGGCGCGGATTTCCTCCCTAGCCAGCAAAATGCCGATCGGGTAGGTGCAGCCGGTGGGAGTGCTGATCGCAAAAGCAACAAAACAATGCGACTGGCAATAGAACTCTTTCCTACCGACTCCTGTCAATATCCCGAGTTTAATTATTCCAGATTAATGCATTTGGAGAAGGTAAGCATATTATGCAAATAAAAAATAAATATATGTACATGTTTTCTTTTTGTATATGCAGAAGAAGATAAAAAAATTAAAACAGAAAACAAATGGTTTCACTGATCCGTTTAACGACAACGATGATGATGTGGCTAGAATTGCACGCGAACTAGAGAAGAAATATGGCAGTACGTATGGGAGCGGACGAGGTCGAAGCAAAAAAGATGATCTTTGCGACATTGGCATGGGCTATGATGAATCTGATTCATTCATTGATAATACGGAGGCCGTAAGTTGAAACTAGTATATCATAATTCCTGATACAGTATGTGCATATTAATACGTAACTGATTTTTTTTTTACAGTACGATGAAATTATACCAGAGGAATTGGAAACAATAGAGGGCGGTTTCTATATCAATTGCGGACCATTGGAATTCCAAAAACTTCACACAGAATCAACTACTACCAAAACGGACGAAATTATAAAAATGCCCAATCGTCCACGAAAGCGCGTCATATCTTCCTCTTCCTCTGATAGTTCGTCTTGCAGCGAAGAAGATGCGGACGAAGATGCTGAATCGGATGGCGAAGTATCCAGTGCAGACACAGTAAAGGGCAATAAGAATAATAGTGCCATAACACAACCAGCGGAGAAACGTCCCCGTACCAACCCTACAGTCAACCCGATAAAAAAGCCCAAGCCCAACCAAGAGGCAAAAACTAAAAAAGGAAAACTGGTAAAAAATGTGGCTATTGGAGGGTCATCAACATCAAACTCTCCAAAACCTTCCTCCGTGGGCTCAGATTCAGAGAAAGAACGTGTGCGACAGAAAATTGTCAAGACAACCACTATAAAGGATATGCTTAAGGCAAAACGTGACAATTTTCTAAAAATGCAAGAAGGTGGTGGTGTTAGCGGACCAACTGGAAGCTCGGAACAAATTAATGGAGAACTTAAAGGAACTGCTAGTAAGTCGTCCGATGAAGATGACTCTTCCTCAAGTGGCGAATCGGAAGGTTCAAGTGATGACAGCGATTCTAATGGCAGTGAGCCAGAAGAGAAGAAAGCGAAAAGTGGTAATGGTGAAAGTACTGAAAGTATGTTCACATTTAAAAATATTAAAAATTTAGTAAAAACAAAATTTGTTATCAAATGTTTAGAATTGCGCACATGCGACACCAAACTGCCCGAAATTGAGGCTGAAATTTTAGCGGATGTCCAACAATTCAAAGAAATTGTAACAATGAAGAATATGACCGGCAAACGTTTCCAATTCGATGACTCGCTAGTCGAAGTCTTTTTGAAGTACGTTTTGAGTGCATATGTGATTTTAGAGCCGACATTTAAAATTTTTTCTCTTTCTATATATAAATTTAATACAGAATCGATGAAGCATTGTTATGCGTTGAAAAAACTCACAGGAATATGGTATTCGCACACTTAGAATATCATCTTGTGTTGCCTAAATATTTCTTCTTGCGCAAAGCAAAGCAGCTACGTATAAAAGAGGAAAAAATGAAGAGTAAAAGAGCGCTTGGCAAATTGCGTAAAACTATTATAGAAGCAATGCCGGCGGTAATTGCTAACTTTGAAGCAGAAATAAGGAGACATGCAGAACTGTATGTTATTCATACAATTTTGTAGCATTTTTACCTGCTTATTTAAAACCATTTTTTTTTAGTGCTGTTAATGTAAATGCTGACCATCCACCGAAAATGCCAAAGAAGAAATTCCCTTGGAACAATAATTTGCGGTAAGAAGAAAACACTTATTTTTTTGCCGTCCTATAATTTATACGTTGATTTTTGAGCTTCAGGCCAATTGTTAAGTAAAACATTAAATGATATAGTTTCATTTATTACATTTATTGTGGTCGATATTTTGCCTTCAATCTGAAGGCATCTTCTCTCAGCGAAGTCGATATTTCGTCTTGATTGAAGGCGAAATATTGAAAACAATGAATCTAATAAATAAAACTTTACCAATTTATGTTTTATTTAATAATCGGCCTGAAACTCTAAAATCGAAGTATAAATTATAATGTAATAATGTGTAATTTCAGGAACCTCCTCTACGACGTTTATCAAGTACGATGGACATCATTTCCAGTTCTGGGAACGCGAAAGGAGACTCTTGAAGATTTTATTAATGTGTTTTTACGGGAAAAGGTTGTGGAACTTTGGCCAAAAGATTGGATGCGATTTGAAGAGCTACACCGCGAGATTGAAAAACGCAAGACAGCTGCAAAAAAAGCAAAAGACAAGAAAAAGGAAAAGGATAACGGCAGTAGCATTCCTTCAGCTAATCCCACAACTGCCACTAGTAATACTGGTTCGACGTCTTTGGGTACTGTCGCACAAAGTGCTCCGCCTAACAACACGTATATGAAACAGTTTGAAGAGTTTGCCACGGGTAGTCGCAGTTCATACGCCAATTCCGATACTGAATCGGTAGCTAGTAGCGGCACCTCGAACGGTATAAAACGTAAGAATCCCGGCAAGGGAGCAGGTAAAACAGCAAAATTACAATCGCAAAGCAATATCCCAAATAACAGTAGCACCTTCGATAACAACAAAAAACCACAACTGCCACAACAGTTATCGACCTTTCTCCCTGCTTCAACAACGTCAGAATTGAATTCAAAAAATTTATTGGCCACCAATGCTGGCGCCACATCCAGCCAAATACCGACCCCGACTCTACCACCGATATCTACTGCGTCTATCATAAGCACATCGACTGTTTTGTCATCGCAACCCAAACATTCCAAATCGGGTGAAACAAAAGTACAAGTTATAGATCTAGATAACTACCGTAGCCCTAGCGATATACTTTTGACCTCACAACTGTTACGACCGGGTAAAGGTAATGCAACAACAGCTATAGCGATGCCCAATGCAAAAACCGCCTTAACGCCATGTGTGCCAAATCGACGAGAGAGCAGTAGCGAATCGGATGGTGTTGAGATCGTGAGTGTATATCCGGCCAAATCCAAAGCGCCTGTAGGGGCACCCCCGAAACAAAAATACAAGAGAAATGCAGCTTCGAACTTTGCAATGAATACTGGGAATATGAATTCATTTCAATCTACTTCGACCACTGTAATAAATAATAATAGCATCAGCAATGCGAACAACAGTAGTCAAAACGCCAAGGGTAAACAAGTGGAGATGTTGAGCGCCGTTCCAAATTATGACGCGAAGCAAGTTGGTCGCACTTTTAAGGATCTCGTAAGCAAAAATAATGCATATACATATATATACTTCAAATTTTAAAACAATTTCTTTGCATTTTCACATTTAGGATTTACAACAAAAGACAAATTCATTATCACAGCAAAATGGCTCCAAAAAAGACCATTGTGCTCAATGACCCGCAACAAATTTTGATGTACACGACTTTAGTACACTATCAGCAGCAGCGCTTTCATGTTTCGCACAAGCGCAGTCGACATCGGACGACGCTTTCTTAACAGCAAACACTGTAACTAGCGCAACTGTAGGAAAATCTACATTTAGCGCTTTGCCACCACTGCCATTATTTTTACCAACACATATGGAAACTCTACCACCTCCTCCGCAACCGTCGTCTATCGCGACGCTGAATGCGGCAACAGTGTTGATACGGCCGCTTTTACCGACAACTGCACCATACGCGCCGTCGTCATCAACGCTACCAACAAATCAACAATCAACCGATTCGCAACAATTACAGTCGCGAAATAGATTTTAGGGTTTACATTGATCTAAGTGAAAATTAAGTAAGACAGAAAAAATCATCAAACAAATATGCATACGTAGACGAAAGTTGGTTTGCTAATCTTGCAAAGATGCATTTGCATTATATCGTCGATTAAAGTACAAAACCGCGTATCAAGATAATGCAAAACCGCGTATGTGAGGTTGCATAAATTATTTTCTAGAGAGTAAAAACTCTCATATTCCAAAATGGTTCTCTTTTTTATAAAGCAATCGCATTTCTCGCTAGTATATTTCAAGATGAATGGATAAGGATTGAGCCAAGAGCTTGTGTGAGTAAATCCAATTTTTGGCGAAAAATGTCAGTTACGCGGCTTTGCAGAATTACGATGCGCGGTTTTGTACTTTAAACGACGATATGTAGTATTTACTTAGGCGGGCGTGATCACGTCAGTTGAGAAGAAGGCAGGGCGAAACTATTGAGAAACATATATATTTTTTTTTTAATTCGGTTCGCTAAACCTATACATTTGAACTTATTCTATGTTCGTCGGGTCACGTGACTTCATCTAGAGTTCAATGTACACTTAATTTATTTATCGCTTTATTTATGTACGTTTTTGCAATTAAAATTCAATACGCAAACATCCTCTTACTACACATAATAATATATCTCTATACTTAGCATTTAAGCGCGTTTTATGCTATTTACTTTAAGTTAAAGCTGCACTGCTAATTTTTGTCATCTTCAATTGCTCTACATTGTATTTGTATTAGTTTTTCGATGTAACCATCGTTTGTATTTTCAAATTATATTGTAGCTATAATTAAACGGGAAGCAAATAAAATACATAAATATTTTTAAAACATCACTTGGGCAATTTGCTGTGAAAGGCGTTTGTTTAAAGCATACTGATCTACGATGGCCCGTGATGTCCGGCGTATGTATGTATGAATTTTTCATTTAGTGTCTTACTGCAAATAGTTTGATTATTGAATAAAAGTATTCTAAATGATTGAATAAATAATAAGTTGCAGATGGATTGCTCTTTATATACCAGGGAGGGTAGTGGAAAACATATAGCGGTATCATATCCGAACGTGAAAAGCGTTCCCGGGAAGATATCAACAGAATTTTTAACTTTAAAATGACACTTGGAAATAATGAAAGCTAGAACGATACTAGGGTTAAGAAATTCACCCTGTTGCATCGCGTAATTTTTTATGCAGAGACCCCAAAAACGACCAAAAGTATTGGGAACACCATAGTTGGACCCAGATCAAAATATTCAGCGAAAATATTCCAATGAAAACATCATTAAAAGTGCAGTGTTTTTGCACTTAACTTTTGCAATTTTTGAATACATCTATACGTAAGCCGAAAAATGCGATCAAATTTGGACAAAGCCAAGCGTCGAGTGACCAGAAGGCTGCACAAACTGCCAACAACCTGTGCCCCCCTTGCTTTCACTTGCGGTGAAGTTCAGGTGGCCATCGGGAAGGCGAAAGCCTCCAAAGCCATGGGTCGCGACGGAATATTCATGCTGATGATGAAAAATTTGGGTCCTGCGGGGGTAGCGTACCTAACGGAGGTCCTCAATTTGTCTATGGCCACTCTCATCATCCCAGACATCTGGAAGGTGGGGAGAGTGGTCCCACTACTCAAACCGGGGAAACCTGCCAACAAAGGAGATTCTTATCGGCCGATAACACTCCTTTCCCCGGTAGCGAAGACACTCGAGGCTCTGCTGCTCCCGTATTTCACAAACCACTTGACCCCAGCGAAGCATCAGCATTCAGTGCACAGTACAACCACAGCACTTAACGCCATAAACACTCAGATAACTCGTGGCCTTAGCTGAAACCGTCCCTGTGAGAGAACGATTCTAGTAGCGTTGGACTTGTGATAGACGTTTGACACCGTCTGCCATTCCACGCTACTAGAATATATAGAGGCTTCCTCTCTCCCACAGAGGCTCAAACGGTGGTCGGCAAATTATCTGAGTGGCCGACACTCGTCGGTAATGTTTAGAGACAAATCGAGTAAACTTAGAAAAATAAAACAGGGGGTTCCACAGGGTGGTGTCCTTTCCCCCGCTACTGTTTAACTTTTATATTTCAAAGCTCCCTCAACCACCAGAGGGAGTCTCGATTGTCTCTTACGCCGACGATTGCTCGATCATGGCGACTGGGAATGGAATTGATGACCTGTGGTCGAAAGTAAACGGGTATTTCTCCGAACTTTCTCGCTTCTTCACTGCAAAGTGTCTAGCCCTCTCCCCTACGAAATCCTCTGCGACCCTGTTCACAACCTGGACGAAAGGGGTCAGGCTACAGCTGGGAATTCACGTCGATAACACTCCAATTCCGACGATGAATAATCCCAAAATACTCGGAGTAACATTCGACAGCCTGCTCTCCTTCTCTGCGCACGCAACCGCTATTGTCAATAAAGTACAGAGCCGCAACAAGATCCTCAAGTCGCCAGCCGGCAGTACTTGGGGCAAAGACAAAGAAACGTTGCTGGCAACAAACAAGGCAATAGGCCGGCCGGTTTTAAACTACGCAGCGCCAGTGTGGTCGCCGGGGACTAGTAGGACGCAGTGGACGAAGCTACAGACTGTACAGAACACCGCACTCAGGACAGGGACAGAATGCCTCCTGATGTCGCCCGAACATCACCTCCACAACGAGGCACAAATGCTCCCCATAAAGGAGCACAACATAATGCTCTGCAAGTAGTTCCTGATCGGGAGCCACAGAAGTGGCCACCCAAACAGACAGCTGCTTGCAGAGGAGCCCTCGCCTAAGCACGTCAGGAGGCATCTATATGAACTGACGGACGAAGTCCAGAGGTTCATCAAGCAACCTCTGGACCCGTCAGCTTACCGACTGGCCCTAAACGGCATTCACAGGGAGTCAGTCTCGACTCTGGCTACTGCAGCAGGTTAAACTCCTACCTGAGTAGATTGAATGAGGATGTGCCAAATGAATGTCCGGCATGTGGAGGGACCCCACATGGCTCGAAATATTTCATCGCATGCCCGGAAAACCCGACAACCCTAACGGCTTTGTCCTTGTGGACCGACCTGATAGAAGCTGCACGCTTCCTAGGGCTGCCGTTAGTGGAACTTGACGACAACGACTGAGATATCAACCGATCTGGGCGGGGTTATTGTAGCCGCTACAACAACAACAACAATCAAATTTTGCAAAGTTGTAAGGAAACTGGATTTCTGTAAACCAATATAAATGATTTTTTTCTGGTTATATATATATCAAAAGAAAGATGAATCGATTACCTTTCTTTTGATTAAAATATAGTTAAAATCACTTTACTTTTTTATAGAAATTTTTGCAACTTTTGACAACATCTATTTATATGCAAAAGAATAATACTAATAATAAGAAATTAAGCAGCCACATATCAGGGCTGAAAAATGTTCTAATCAGTACGATCAACATTAGGGTGGTCCAAAAATGCATGTCAAAAATGGGAATTTGTATGCTCTCACCCCCAAGGATTGTTCTATACCAAAAAAGAATATATCCCTATTTTTTTATTTGGAAATAAAAAAATATTTAGAGGTCGCTCAAAGCGCCTAAAGTTTTCCATGTATTTTATATGCGGGAAACAACTTTTCGTATTTTTCTATTCCCAATAATAATACTCAATTGTGTATTTAACCATGTTTTCATCGCCATTATAATTTATAGGTCCGCCAAGAACCCACAAAAACGTCGAAAAATGCGATGGGGGACCAATATAAAATCGTTAGTGTTAAAAAATGGTTAAATAAATAATTCAGTATTATTATTTTAAGTCTCCTAAAGAGAACCAGAGTTTTCCGATCGAATAACATTGACTTTCAAGAATTCTATACCATTTCTACGACAACTTGTTTTCCCCCCATCTAAAAATACATGGAATACTTTGAGCGCTTTGAGTAACCTCTAAATATTTTTTTATTAAAAAAAAACGGGTATACATTTTTTCGATATAGAACAATCCTAATCTACATCCACTCGACATCTTTTCAAAATTTGGATTGTTTGTTTGTATAAAACAACTGCATTCCTGAGTGGCTTAAATTATTTAAAACAAAAAAACTGTAATGTGCTATTGAATGGTACAGTTCCATTCAGTAGAGAATGTGAATGTAACAGAAGCAATTATCGTGATTGTAAATTTTGGTTGAATGAAAACGCTTATTATCAGTCAGTACTACACTGAAAAAATACATATACCTTGACACTAGAAGAAAATCTTGATAGTAGAAAAAAGACCTTTTGCTTCTACTTTGTACTACTGCTACAATTTGCTACCTATGACCAAAAGTGTGCAACAGGTTTAGAAATTCAGCCCATGCTTTCACAATCCAACTGCATATTTTTAAAGAAGACTTGCGGCCAATTTTATAGACATATGTACATAACAAACTTTTTATTTGTACAAAACCATGTGTAATAAGCAAAGTGAAATCAATATATACATATATTTATTTTTTATTTATACGCTTATATGACAACGGTTTTGTCATTGCGTTAACCCATTTGAAACTAGCAACATTATAAATTAATTTAAAAATAAAAAAATTTTGATTTCAGATCAAAAAAAAAATTGTTTTAGGAATTAAAGAACACAAAGAAAAAAATCGTTTAAAATGCCAGATACTTGCTGTTCCAAGCCCATCCAAGAAATGCGTTGGACGGGGCAAGGCAAGCAATGCCTGGGGCCTTGCGACGTCTACTACAGCTGCCATGTAAAGGAGCGCAAATTCGGAGTTGGATTTGTGGTGAAAGAGAGACTCCGTCGCCGAGTACTGTCGTTCACCCCGGTGAACGAGCGTTTAGCCGCAATCCGCATCAAAGCGAGATTCTTCAACATCTCGCTTATCTGCGCCCATGCCCTGACGGAAGAGAAGGATGAGGTATCCAAGGATCTCTTCTATGAGCGCTTGGAGCGTACATATGAGGTTGCCCTCTCGACTTGGATCTTTTTCTTGTTGCAGCCAAGATACGCACTCGCCTCTGTGCAGCAAAAAATGTGCGTCCAACAGTTCAAGGAAAGCTTAACATCGAAAAGCTGCAATCAAAACGGAGGACCAATTTATTCGTCACTCGACTCTTACACCTGCTCTCTCTTAGCACTCTTTAAAAACCGACATACACGAGCAGTGGAACCACATCTCCCGCTCATTTAGTACCGCCGCCCAAGAAGTAGTCAGATTTCAGCGAGTGAAAAAAATATGCCACCTTTAAGATCACGTTGCGATCGGGCGCAACGCGATCCATGTGGGACCGTTATAGGGAGCTGAAGAGGAAAGCGAGACAACTTTTCCGCATTAAGAAGAGACTTGCCGAAATATGTAAGTGCGAAGAGGGCAAACTCCTGTAATAACAACCATGGCGACCTAGAGATCGATGTCAAGAACGTACTTAAATTATAGAGGGAACACTTTTCCACCCTTTTTAATGGCAGCACCACTGAAAGTAGGGGATAAGACGAACCCGACCCCCAGTAGATGACGATGGAGTTGATGTCCCACCGTCTGACTATGACGAATAGAGATTACGTCGTTGAAAAACACCAAAGCTGTTGGAGCTGACGGGCTGCCAGCCAAGCTATTCAAGTACGGCGGCGATGAGCTGATAAGGTACATGCATCAACTCTTATGCAGAAAATGGTCAGATGAACGTACGCCCGACGACTGGAATCTAAGAGTGCTCTGGCTAATCCACAAGAAAGGCCAACTACACAAGAAAGGTGCCAACTACCGCGGGATCAGTCTTCTAAGCATAGGTTGCAAGATCTTATCGAGCTCTCCGTCAACCAACTGATTGTACCTTATCAGTGTGGCTTTAGACCTGGCATATCCACCATAGATCAGGTATTTACAATACCACAAATCTTGGAAGATCCGCGAGAATAGGATCGACACACACCATCTGATTGTCGATTTTAAAACCACTTTCTACAGCACGAAAAGAAGTTGCCTTTATGCCGCGATGTCTGAATTTGGTATCCCCACGAAACTAACACGGCTGTGTAAAATGACATTGCAATACCACCAGCTTTGTCAGTTTTTGGAAGGACCTTCCCGAGCCATTTGATACCATACGAGGTTTCAGACAAGGTGCAAGAGCACGGAACTGAACCGCTCTGGCACAATACTTTACAAGAGCGTACAATTTCTGGCGTATGCCGACGACATCGACATTATCGAAAAAAGGGCTACGTCTGTTCTGCCTTCTCGGGATTAGATAGAGAAGCAAAGACCATGAGTCTAGTGATGAACGATGACAAAACGAAGTACCTCCAGTCACCACACAAACAGTCAGAGCATACGCGTCTTGCCACCTATGTCTCTGTGGACAGTTACAAGATTGAAAAAGTAGACGAATGGGAACCAGCATTAACACCAATAATAATGCCAGCCTGGAAATCCATCGCAGAATCACTCTGACCACGCTACTGTGGACTAAGTAGGCAATTGAAAAGTAAAGTGCTCTTCTGCCTTCGTACAAAAATCACACTATAAAAGTCACTCATCATGCCTGTCCTGGTGTATGGCGCGAGGCATGTGCAATGTAAACATCTAATGAAGCGGCTCTTGGAGTTTTCCAGAGAAAGATTCTGCGAAAGATTTACGGACCTTCACGCATTCACGATGGCGAATACTGCAGACAATCTAACGATGAGCTATATCAGCTTTACAACGCTATAAACATAGTGCTGTGAATTAAAATCTATCTGGCTAGGTCATGTCGTTCGAATGGCCTGAAACGCTCTAGCTCTTAAAGTATTCCACGTGGGCCGCGATGCTTGTAACAGAGGAAGAGGAGGGCCTCTTCTGCGGACTTTGCTTCACTTGGCATTTCCAATTGTCGCCAGTTGGCACAGAAGAGAAATTATTGGTTTGCTGTTTTGGACTTGGCCAAAATCGTTTGGCAGTTAGAGCGCTTATAAAGAAGATACTAGGTGAAGAATTAATTAAAAAAAAAAACAAATGTTGCAAAATAAAAATTAAAAAATTTTAAGACAATAAATCGAATATGAATCATTTTATTTTATTTAAAAATGTGGTACCAGATTACTAAATTAAATGATTAGAATAGATTTGAAATAATAGAATTTTGAAAAACAATTCGATCACTTAATGTTTCTTCAATTAGTTTCCTTTTTTACCTTCTTTTGCACAGCTTGGGTCCTGAAATGAAAATAAAAGGGGATTAAAACAATCCTTAAGCTTGTACATATATGCAAATATTGAAGTTGTTTGCATAGTTGTATGAATATAAAATGAAAAAAAAACAATCCCTATTCTTTAAAGGTTTTCATATTGTATGCAATAAACGCATATTTAAAATTCAGTTAGGGCCAGTTTTCCAGTGCACAGCCGTGGTTTAAACTCAGTTTAAACGCCCGATCTGGCTGGTTTAAACTAAGATCAGCCAATCAAATGTCAACCAGCTGTTCAATTAAGTAAACTCAGTTTACTTAAACTAAGTTTAAACTGGCACTGAAAAACTTAAGGTTTGAGCTCAACTTGAGGTTAAGTTGAGAACTAAGGTTGTATTTCTCAAATCTCCAACGTTATTTCTCAACAGTACCTCAAGTGGAGAATCATAGCGTTCTCAACAGATAGGCATTTTTCTTTGTACGAAAATAGGACTATTTCTCCAGTTGAGAAAATGTTAGTACTCAATTCAAACTCCAATGTGATTCTTCAATTGGTCTCAAACATAGGAACAAACCCATAATAGCTCCGATTCTCAAATAAATGGTGTTAATGGCGAATTTAGATTTACGACGCGGTACTACTTAATGTCAAAATGATGTGTTTGTTGTAAACAAGGTGAATTCATATTACAATAAACATATCATTTTGACATTAAGAAGCACCGCGACGAAAATCTAAATTCGCCATTAACACCACCTTGTATAAATTCGCCTTGGTCTCACTTATTTTCATTTAGAGAATTTTGGCGATGGAAATTTAGCGTAGCGATTGTTAGAATTCCACTGTTGATTGCCAAAAAAACAGTATCACAAATAAAAAAAAAAAATATTTCTACCGACGCGCAGATACGTAAAAAGTGATAGAGAAACGAACTTTAATTTTCAAGTGAAAAACTAAAGCTATATAAAGAGGAAAATAACTAACAAAAGTAAGTAATATTCAAAGTATCCTCAAATAATCTTGAAAGAAAATATAACGCGGCAAAATTACTGTCGGACTGTATACTGTGAATTGAATTATTGTAAATCGATGTTGATTAACTACATAATACAAAAAAAGCAATAAAATGAAAATTTTAAATTTAAATACATCTACATATGTATGTCGTTTCAATCAAAAAGGTATAAGGAATTTTACTATTTCAATTTCAGTATTTCAATGATATGTTTGAGACCAATTGGAGAATTACATTGGAGTTCAAGTTGGGAACTAGCATTTTTTCAACTTGAGAAACAGTCCTTTTTTCATACAAATAAAAATGCCCTTTTTGTTGAGAACGCTATGATCCTCCACTTGAGGTACTGTTAAGAAACAACGTTGGAGTTTTGAGAAATATATACCTTAGTTCTCAAACTAACCTCAAATCTAAATGTTTGTTGGGCAGCCACAACAGTCAATTCAAGCAAAAAAAAAACTACAAGGTGTCTACGGGAGCATTGCGGCATCGTACGCTATGCAAAATTAGCTAGATTGTGTACATATGTATATGCTCATATGTATGTATGTATGTAGCTCACGGTGGTTGTACATATTTCAGACAATGAAAGTATTGTATATCATAAGAAATCTCCATAATTAATCACGACATACCATTCTATAATTGTTGCTAGTTAATTGCAAATTTTCCTTGCGGTTCAGCATTTATTTTCGCAGGCAAACACACGAAAGCAACATAGGAGTCTGCAACCCTGACTGTCAAACTGTATATTTGAGAAAATAAGCAAAAAATTTGCATTTTACTGTCATTGCAATAAATAAACTGAAAACTTTGTTAAATGAAGACTTTCAATTTGAATAGAAGTTAGAGTGATAAAAATAACAAGTATAGGGTTTTTAATTATCTAACTTTATGAAAAAGTAGTACCAAGAGTAATTGAGCTGATAGTGTATAGCGTAAAAGCATTGTGACGCAGCGCTCAGGTAGCAGGAAGAGTTGCTTCTGGTAGTGGACAACTATGTTATGGCATCTATGTCTAGCTCATCGACCGATGAGAGCTTCAATGCACCAAATCTGAAATTTCACGTGTCCAGTTCAAGTGAAGATGTTTGCAAATATACGGGTGGTCATGCCAATCCCGAGGATATTCTGGGGCTGAGATATCATTGTCCACTGTGTGGAAAATCCCAGCACCAGCATAATTTTCACTGTTGCTCATGCGTGCGGAATGGTAACATTGTGCACAGTAATGTTGCTGGTTGTACGCAGAAAGAAAAGTAAGTTGGGCACATATATGCAATTCAATGATAAAGATTGCGGCTTGGAATTAATTTCATTCTCTTTCAGCCTTTTTGAGAAACAACAGAAATATATCAAGATTAAAGGCGGCCTCAAGGACTTGAGTATTCGATATGAACGGTTCATGCGTGAGCAGCGCTCCAGCGAAAACTTGCAATGTGAAATTAAACGTAAAAAGCAGAGGATTCAACTGCTCAATAGATTGATAACTGAAAAGCAAGCGTTATTGGCAAATAGAAAAGAACAAAGGGATCTGCGGTGCAAGGCAAACATTGATAAACGCAAACAGTTGCCAAACTATCCAATTAAAGTGAAAGCTCTAGAGGATTATGTTTTCGATAGACTCGAAAAAATTATTAAATTGCGAGAGTTGTATGGTGGGATGATGAATAAAGTGCAGCAAGTGACACGTCATGATATAAACCAACTGGTGAAGAATATATTTCCAATTTCGGAGGTGGTGTTGCAAGACGAAAAACATCTTAAGGCGATTATTGGCGATGTACGCGGTGCGATACCAAGTGCTGGACCCGGTGGTGACGCCAGCAATGAAACTAACACTATGGAACAATTGGCCGATGCTAAAAACACATCTTATATTCGCGGAAAGTGGGTGTTTCATGGAAGCGGTATTAGTGAGATGCAATACCGCATTGTAGCACCGACATTGCCGGCTAATGGTGACTACACTGCGTATTTAGATTGGCTTACCGACAACAAAGATGATGTGCCGAAGAACGAAGGTAATCACATAGCACCAAGTCGCATAAGTGCTTTTCGCATCATTGGTGGGCTCACGTATACCACGCAACTGACCGAGTTAATGAGCTACTATCTAAATGTGCGTCTACCCCATAGGGTTGCATATGGGTAAGCGAAATCTTAAGACCTGCTACTGCAACATTTTTATAAAAATATATCTATTACAGTGACTTTTGCCGCAAACTTAACGAAGAGCAATTCTTGCGCAAAGTTTCGCGGTTAAATTCAAACATTATGTACCTCGCCTACACACAGCAGGTACAGCTGCGAAATCTAAATGAAAATCATACACTGGAAAACATATTGGCCATTTTAGATGTAGAAAAGAGTAACTTAGGACGACATGGATTCTATGAGATATCAAATGCACCATTAATGAAATCGGTCGATTCTCTGCTTAAAGGCATTGAAACTGCCACGGAATCAGAATCGGAAGGTAGTCATAATACCCGTTATTTAAGCTTTCTTTAAGATAATGATTTTTTGTTTTTTAGAAGAAAATTCCTTACGCTTGGATTGGGAATCGGTGCCAAACTTCCCAGACGAGCCTGAGATTAGTGAATCGGATTTAATTGCAACCGCCGCTGCACAACAATCAAGTATCACAGGGGGTCTCATGACCACAGCAGCTAATCGAATAAGCGCAATACTTCGATGGCGAAGATAGGGGTAATGTGGTTTTTAGTGTTCGTATCGTTTTTTATTAATAATTTTAACAGAGAATTAAACACTAATTATGCTCGTGGATATTGGGTATATCCATATATATTTTGGACTTTACATACACGTACCTACACTTCTACGACACAAACATACATATATACATTATTAAAATGAAATATAATTCAAGGAGATTTATGTAGCAAAAAATCATGTTTTTCTATTAATTGGGATTTTCGAAGCATGTAATTAAATCCATAACGGTTTAAGCTTGCTTCCAGTAATCTAACATGTGACATCTTCAGATAAAAAGAGAAATAATCTTGGCACAGAAAAGAAAAGTTACTTTGGATAACTTAAGTGTGCGCATGTTGCAGTTTGCCAAGATAATCAGGCAGGTTCAGAAATTCACTTCTCAGTAGGTGATTTCAGGAGCTAAAGTTCCTTCGAAAAGGCCTTCTTGACAACAACCTTCAACAGGCCTTCCACTCTGCATTCCTTTCTCCTTGGCACAAATTGCTTTCGCTACCCAGAGAAAGGCTTCCAGAAAGCCTTTTGGAGGTGTTCTTAAATTTGTAAAAAATTATTTTAAATGTTAAATAATTAAACTTACATATTCGCGTAAATTGTGATATGAAAAAGCCCTTTTAGAAGCACTTCTTGGGTAGGCCTTTTAGAATGGCTTCTGGGTTCCGAGTGAATTTCAACACCATTCAATTTAAATTCAAAGTGACTTGGGTTGAAATAGTTCAAGGACATTTATTGAAGTTGAGATCCCGTACGAGTCCGAACTTGTCGGAAATAGTCTAGAAAATAGTACTGAAAATTGAGTGGCGACCACTGACTATTTCTAATATGTACAAACTCGTACGGAATTGATACTTGTGTTTTATTTAAACGCATTTTCTTAACAAAAAAGCTCACTTAAACAATTAATATGCCACTTAAGCGGATTTACAATGACGACGAGGTTATGCTGTCAAAAATACAACAAACATTTCCAGAACTCAGTCCTCATTATTACCTTTATTTAAGCTGATGATCGTCTGCTTTATGAAAATCGGTATGAGATTTTTATTCATAACTAATAATTACTTTTAATTATAATCACAATTTACGTATGCATAGCTTCACGTACCTTGGTCATATATTAAAAAAGATATTATGGCAGGTATATAGCACAACTGATGTACATTAAGCGTACATACATACATATGACGAAAGGGTAAAATATATTAAATATTAAACCCATTATTGACTTCCGATTGTGGGTTCTTTACTACCAATGGTCGACTGATATATGATTTACGACATTCTCCTATGCAAAATTGTATCCCTTAAGGCTTGCGTTCATGTTAAATGAATGCCGCGGTGTGAATTTTAATATTTCATCGACTTTAATCTTATGACTTCATGTGGGTATAGTATAGTGTATAGCATTTTTAATTCGCGCATATTTTCATTATAAACATTTATGTTCTGTGAGAAGTTGATTGCGAATACTTGTTTGATCTAGCATTTAAAATTTGACTAAGGTGTAATTTGGATGGTATAAATTCTCTACTTTTTGGGTCCAATGATTTTAGTCACAGCTTCGACAATGTTATGAGCCTGGGGTAATGCATTCGCTTCCAGGGTCTTGGTATAAGGCATTGGTACGTCAACGCCACATACACGCCACACAGGTGCATCTAAATGGAAGAAAGTTTCGTCCTCCATGATACGCGCGCAAATTTCAGCGCCCACACCTATAACAAAAAATTTAGATTTGTTGAGTGCTGCTAGAGGTGAAAAGTTGCGATTTTACCATGTTGTGGCCAGCCCTGCTCTATGGTCACAAGATGATGTGTCTTCTTAACGGACTTGCAAATGGTGTCCATGTCCAGTGGACGGATGGAACGCAAATTGATAACCTCAGCTTCAATACCTGAAAGTATATGCAATTGTAAATATATTCCATTAAAAAATCTAATTTAGCTTACCCTTTTTAGCCAGTTCAGCAGCAGCGGTCAGTGCGGTTTCTACAGCCCTTGAATGTGCTACCAGAGTGATGTGATTACCTGGTTTCATAATTTTTGCCTTACCGATAGGCAGCACGAAATCTTTATCAAATACCTTTTCGTCCACTGGGTATGAAACACCATATAACATCTCATTTTCTAGAAAAACCACTGGGTCCGGGTCGCGAATGGAAGCCTTAAGCAATCCACGTGCATCCTCGCTGTCATAAGGGGATATCACTTTCAAACCTGGGCAGTGACCGTACCAGGCAGCGAAGCACTGAGAATGCTGAGCGGCTACACCAGCAGCGGCACCATTGGGGCCACGGAAAACTATCGGAACGTTGACCAAACCGGCGGACATGTAGAAGGTTTTAGCTGCTGAGTTGATAACCTTTTGGTTTGAATAAAAATTGTTTTGAGAATGAAAAGAAAATAAATCAAATAGAATGCGAGCCGCTCACAGAATGACTTGTAAAATTTGGATTTATTCTTGTAAATACCAATGAAATACCAACACGTTCGCTAAATACAAACAATCTTATAAACCTAATAGCCTATGACAATTTTTCACTTAATTCCCAGTTTCTCTTTGATGATAAACGCAGGCAACCGCCTTCCTTTCCAATAACGGGGCAATGGATTCTCGTTTGCCTTTCGCAGCTGCTCTTCCACGTACTGCTCTGCATTAAATGCTTCACCGGCTTTCACTTGAGCGATCAATTTAGCTTGGAATGCCTTTTCTTTGCGCATCTCACGGCGTTGACGCACTTTGGCCCATTCGAATTTCATCTTGCGGCGCAGTTTCTTCAACTTATGCTTCTTCATCTTTCGACGGCGTATAACAATAAGACGTGCTGCTTCCATTTTTCCATTGCTTATTGCAGGCGCTTGAATTTCATGCGGCACTGTAGGCTCATCGAGTATATCGTTGATTTCACTAAGCCATTTATTGCGAGGGCTTTCGATAACTTCATGTCTAGTTGGCAAATCGCCGATTGAAGTGCGCGTAACTTGCTGCAGTAGGGAAGCTCGTCGGGCATATAACATACTAATGGTGTGGCTTCTGTTGTTTGTTTGTAAACAGTCGAGAGAACCAAGAAGTGGATGGCGTGACATTACATTCACCTGTGTGCAAT